GGAGGTGGGGGTGGGGGGGCGGAAAATAAAATAAAAATGGAACAAGACAGTCAAGTAAACTAAATGGAGTGATCCCTCGCCGTCCGTCCCGGCGCCATGGGTCACGGGGGGGCTGGGGGAGGGAGGATGCTGGCCGGCCCTGCCGCAGCGCAGCCCCCTCCCCATCTAGGAGATCATGTACTGGGTGATGGCCTGCAACGCGTACAGCAGCTCCGCCTGCATCCGCGCCTCCAGGATGAGCAGGTTCACGTGGACCTAAGGGGGGAAGCGGGAGAGGTTCAGGCAGCTCTTCAGGCTTCGGTCCGGGACAAAGATGCCACCCATTTTCCTCAGGCAACTGCCCTTTCCTGCCACGCAAAGCCCAGCTCCTTACAAACAGCCCGTTTCCATTCCCCCCCCTCACCTGACTGGTTTAGTGGCCCAAAGGTTTCCCCGTACGCCCCCCAAGCACCCCAGCCTGCAGCCCCTGCCCGTTCCGAGCCGGGGGCCGGCTGTCCCACCTTCTCACTGTGCTTGAACTGCTTCCAGAACCTGTCAAACATCTCTGAGTTTGTCTTCTCTGGGTAGCAGGTTACAGTTTTAATGTAAACTTTGAGCATTCGCTCCAGGAGCTGGTTCACTTCTGCGTAGTCGTAGTCATCGTACCTGCAGGGAGCACAGGGGCGAGTCACGGCCGGCACCGTGTCCCCACACCGTGTCCCCACACCGTGTGGCCCGTGGTACGGCACAGTGGACACACGGCAGTGGCCACCAAGCACAGAAGCCCTCTCCTTAAAGCGCCCTGCCCTGCCCTGTCCACAGGAGCTGAGCATCTCTCCCCTGCCTGGCCCAGCACCCAGGCAGGTGATTCACCTCCATCTCTTTTCCAAGCCCACCTGCAAGACGAGACAGCCCGTGTGCCCGACCCTCCTCCCACCTGGGTCGGCTTGGTTTTCTCCCCTGGAGCTCCCCATGAAGCTGGTTTCCCTACCTAATGCCAAACATGCAGTGGATGTAGTTCCAGATGCCCCGCTTGAAGACGGAGGGTTCGCAGCCCTGCCTCTTGGCCATGGCACTGCTTTGCAGACCATCCACCATCCGAAACTTCTCATCCAGAAGATGCCCGATGTCGGAGTAGAGCCGGTTGACCAGCGAAAAGCCGTGGTCTTCCCAGGAGTAATCCTGTTGAGCACAGCGAGATGCTTTTGCAACTGCAGAAAGGAGTCCAGGACACGTTCCCAGGGAGAAGGGCTGGAGACCTCAGGAGGCAGCAGAATTCAATAGGTTTGCTCTGGGGTGGCTCAGCCACAGACCACAACATCCCTCATCAGGCAGCTTTTTAACGGCTTTGACCCTCACCTCCGTGAGGGCAACGGGGAAAAAATCAGCAGCCCTTGGAGACAGAAGTCACCGGTCACCTCCCTCTCCCCAAGCCCAGCAGGGGCAGGTCCCCTCCCGGAGCTGAGCTCCCCAGCTCGGGCATCTCACAAAAGCAGCTGTGCCAGATGTGGGCTGCATGGGCACCCCCGCCACCGCCCCGCAGGAGCGGAGAGGAGAGGAGAGGTGAGAGCCCGGGCTGCTGCCCGCCGAGAGAGCAGGAACCTCACCTGGACTCTGAATACCTGCGTCTGAGCCTCGTCACGCCGGGCAAAGTCCTGGTATCCAAAGTCAGGGTCCTGCGTGTAGCACGCAAGGTTGGTGGCACCGGTGACTTCCCCGTCGGCGTCTGCAGGAGGGGAGAGCCCTGCGGAGGGGTCGGAGTGGGGCTCAGCTGCCCTGTTCCCAGGTGCAGCAGGCGTCAAAAGCCAGGATCTCATAGAATATAGAATTGCCCAGGCTGGAAGGGACCTCCAAAGGCCATCTAGTCTGACCCCCCCGCAGTCAGCAGGGACACCCCCAACTAGACCAGGTTGCCCAGGGCCTCGTTGAATATCTCCAGGGAAGGGGCCTCAACCACCTCCCTGGGCAACCTGTTCCAGTGCTCCACCACCCTCACAGTGAAGAACCCTCTCCTCATCTCCAGTCTAAATCTGTTCCCCTCCAGCTTGAAGCCATTGCCCCTCGTCCTGTCACTGCAGGCCTTTCTAAACAGGCTCTCCCCAGCCTTCCTGTAGGCTCCCTTCAGGTACTGGAAGGCTGCTATTAGGTCTCCCCGGAGCCTCCTCTTCTCCAGGCTGAACAACCCCAGCTCCCTCAGCCTGTCCTCGGAGCAGAGGTGCTCCATCCCCCTGATCATCCTTGTGGCCCTCCTCTGGACCCTCTCCATCAGGTCCATGTCCTTCTTATATTGAGGGCTCCAGACCTGCACACAATACTCCAGGTGAGGTCTCACCAGAGCAGAGCAAAGTGGCAGAATCACCTCTCTGGACCTGCTGGCAACGCATCTTTTGATGCAGCCCAGGATACTCTCACTGCACCTCAACCACAGCCTCCTTTCCCCGGCACCCAAGGAGCCCCTCTCCAAACCGTACGTCACGGAAAATGCGAGTACAGACCCGGGGGAGCAGCACCTAGGTGTGCCACGCCAGCTCCCACCCTGCACGCCCACCTCTGCCCCCTGCCCCTCACCTTCCTCTCGGTCCTGCTGCAGCAGCCTCGTCTCCTCCCTGCCCTCCGTCTCCACCTGGATCCGCTGCATGCGCTCCCGCAGGGAATCCAGCTCCATGCAGGAGTCCAGGGACTGCACAGACACAGGGGGGGTGAGGGCAGAGGTCCCGGGCTGTGCCCCCCATCCCTCTCCCCCCCTCCCTCCCCGGTGGATCTCCCTCCCTTTCGGCTGCTCACCCGCTTGCGGTTGATGCGCAGCAGCTCCTGGCTGCAGCCGTTGCCGGCGGTGGCTTCGCAGAAGCACTGGTTCCCGGGCGACAGGGGCTTCAGGGGGGCTCGTCCCCCCGGCCCCTCGTCCTGCTCACAGCCGCAGCCGAAGACGAAGCTGGTGAGCGCGTGGCAGTGCGCCAGCAGGACGACGGCGTGCACCAGCTCCGCCAGCGACCAGCTCCACTCGCTGATCTTCAGCAGCTTCTGCAGGACACGGACAGACCAGCGATGTGATGCAACGCGATGTGGGGTGACGGCCCCCTCTGGGGACTCCGCTGTCCCCACCGCCACCCTCACCCCTGGCTGACAGCATCCATCCCCCCTCCCCCTGCCCCCAGTACCTCGATGTGCTCCTTGGTGATGAGCCACGGCCGGTGTGCCAGGATCTTGTTGATCTCGTTGAGGTTGCGGAGTTTGGGAGGGATGAAGTCGAGGCCGCGCAGCCACTGGGGATCGCCCCCCGCCCGCAGGAACTGCAGCACGTGCAGGTTCACCAGGTACCGGCACCGGTGCCGGGCGGCCGCCTGCAAGAGCGGCACATCAGCATCCCTGCCCCCGAGACCCCTCGCCCAACCTCCAGGACACCCTGACTTTGGCAGAGAAGCTGAAGGCACGGCCCGTGGGGTGGAGGGAGCGCGGGGAGCCTGGCAGGGCAGAGCAGAGCCCCCGTCCCCCCCCGAGGCTCACCATGATGGCGATGTAGTGGCGGCAGTCGAAGGGCAGCGGGCCGTCCATGTGCAGCAGGTAGTGCTGCATCTTGAGGAAGCTGTCCAGGTACTGCGGGTGGTAGCCCATCTGCTGGGTCACGGCCTCCAGCCGCCCCCGGCTGGCCAGCACCTTCACAAAGAGGAACTGGGGGCGCTCGGGGTCGCTGCCGGACATCTTCACCACCTGAGGGAAACACAGAATCTTCTAGGTTGGAAGGGACCTTAAAGATCATCTTGTCCAACCGTCAACTTCACTGACAAAAATAGACACCCACACAACAAACAAGGAGCATCATCACTAAACCAGACCTCCCAGCACCACATCAACCCATCTTTTGAACACCTCCAGGGATGGGGCCTCAACCACCTCCCTGGGCAGCCCAGTCCAATGGCTGAGAACCCTTTCAGTGAAAAAATTTTTCCTAATATCCAGCCTGAACCTCCCCTGGCGCAACTTGAGGCCATTTCCTCTCGTCCTGTCACCTGTGACTTGAGAAAAGAGACCGACCCCCATCTCTCTACACCCTCCTTTCAGGGAGTTGGAGAGAGCGAGAAGGTCTCCCCTCAGCCTCCTCTTCTCCAGGCTGAATAACCCCAGTTCCCTCAGCCTCTCCTCATAAGACTTATTCTCCAGACCCCTCACCATCTTTGTCGCCCTTTGTCTCCAGGCTTAGCTCTCCCCACCGCAGCCCCCAGCCCAGCCCGGGCTCTGCACGGGGCTGGGATCCCCTCTCCTGATGGGTGCTCCCAGAGGGACGCCATCGGGTCCGAAGCCACCGCAGAGGGTTCGGGCTCAGGTTGGGGAGCCGGGCAGAAGGGGGTCTCCAACCTGGGGGTCTCTCCCAGGCTGGTCTCTGCCTGGGGGAGGGCATTGCAGGGTGAGCAGGAGCGATGGGCAAACTGGGAGTGATGGTTTCTCACAGCCTTAGAGGCAAATGCAAGGCTGGAGCAGGAGAAACATGAGAGGTGAGACCTGACTGCCCAGCACCGAGCCCTCCTGCCTGGCACCGGGACGGGGAGAGCTCTGGAGCCACCTGAGCTGCTCTTGGGCTCCCACCCCAGCAAGCCAAGGGACAAGGACTGTCTGTCCTGGCACCTGCCACGTGGTCAGAAGCACACAGAAGGGACCAGAGCTATCCCGCAGCGTGGAGCAGGTCCCGCAGCACAGGGGTGCCTGGCACCGCTGGCACCGGGGGAAAACACGGATGGGCAGGCTGTGGAGGGGAGTCTGTGAGCCCCCAGCCCCGAGCTGTGGTGGGAGCAGAGCACGGGGATGGGCAAAAGGCACCCAGGCGGTGGCTGAGCCCCAAGGAACGGCCCCGGTGCCACCACCCCCCAACAGTGAAGCGGGGTCTGTACCCACAGCCCCCCCATCCCCGCCGCAGGGCACAGCAGGCACTCACCCCCATCATGTGGAGCCCAGCAGCACCCTGGGGTGCAGGAGTGCACCTCCCCCCCCAGCTCCAACACAAACGGAGTCACGGAATCAGGGAATTGTCAGAGTTGGAAGGGACCTCTAGAGATCCTCCAGTCCAACTCCCTGCCAAAGCAGGGCTGCCCAGAGCACATCACTCAGGAGCATCCAGGTGGGGCTTGAAGATCTCCAGAGAAGGGGACTCCACACCCTCCCTGGGCAGCCTCTGCCAGGGCTCTGCCACCCTCACCCCAAACAAGTTCTTCCTCACATCCCAGTGGAACTTCCCATGGTCCAGCTTGTGCCCGTTGCCCCTCGTCCTGTCACTGGGAACCACTGGAAAGAGTCCGGCTCCATCCTCCTCCAACCCACCCTTTAGACACTTGTCAGCATTGATAAGGTCTCCCCTCAGCCTTCTCTTCTCCAGGCTCAAGAGCCCCAGCTCTCTCAGCCTTTCCTCATCAGGGAGATGCTCCAAGCCCTCCATCATCTCTGTTGCCCTACGCTGGACTCTCTCCAGCAGTTCCTTGTCTCTCTTGAACTGGGGAGCCCAGCACTGGAGGCAGGATTCCAGTTGTGGCCTCCCCAGTGCAGAGCAGAGGGGGAGAATGACCTCCCTCCACCTCCTGGCCACACTCTTCCCTCTGCAGCCCAGGATCCCATTGGCCTCTTGGCCACAAGGGCCCATTGCTGGCTCCTGGAGAGTTTACTGTCCACCAGGACCCCCAGATCCTCCTCCTCAGAAGTGCTTTCCAGCAGGTCCATCCCTAACCTATACTGGTATCCACATTCTTCCTCCCACCTCCTATGGGAGCCACTGACCCCACTGTCATCCTCCTCCTGCCCGTCCTCCCTGCGCTGTCACCCGAAGGCTGGTGACCAGGGCACAGCCACAGCAGTGGCACAGCAGCAAACCAGGGCCACAGCCACAAACCAGCCCGTGCTCCACAACCACCCCGGGTCGTCACCACCAGCCAGGACACACACAGGGCCTTCGGAGACCCCGACCAGGATGCCCGCTGCCCTGTGCTCCTCACCCTGCCCATCAGAGGGTTACACCTGGCCTCAGTTGTGCAGCAGCTTGGTGTGCCACCACGGGGTGACCCAGAAGGTCAGGGCAGCACTGGTGGGGGGGGGCACAGAGCAGAGCACCCGGGGCTGAGCTGTTTCCTACAATCCTGCACCTCTGACGGACACGCCATCGCTCAGGTGGCAAGAGATTGACTTGATGCCATTTGGAGCTTCCTCTTTGCCTTTGGCCGTAGGGATTAAAAGATCAAAAGCCAACCCCAAATTAAAACGGGGAGGGATGAAGAGCACTCCGTCCCACCGGAGGAGGTGCAAACCAGAAGTGACCTGTGAAAGTCCCCCACAAAGTCCCTCTGCTTGGGGAAACGAACTGCCCTGGGGGGCTATGGCCACTGCTCTCCTTCTGGTGGGCAGAGCTGGGGGAGCTGGGGGGGAGGTGGTCCCCAGCGAGGAGCTGTGTGCCCAGCTCAGCCTCCGGGGCCACCAGCTCAGCCTCCGGGGCCACCAGCTCAGCCTCCGGGGCCACCAGCTCTGCTGGCTCTGCCCCCCCAGGTGATGGTGGAGGGAGCGACCAGGCACGGGAGGGTGAAGGAAGCGTCCCCCACCTTGCACTGCCCCTGGTGCCACCTTCCTCACCCTCCCCGGCCATCACCCTCCTCCCCTGCACCCACTCGAAGCCCTGGGTGGTGGGGACATCACCTCCCTCCCCCCGGGAAGGTGGGGTGGGGGCTTCCTTGTGTCCAACCCCCCCCCAGGCAGGCACCCCGACGCCCTACCCACCGCCAGCCTCCCCCCCTCTCTGCCCGGGCAGGTGCTGGCCGGCCAGCCAATCGCCAGGCAGCAGTTTGCATGTAAAGCAGGCAAGAGGATGGAGGAGCCCGGCCGGTCCTGCCACCGGGAGCCAGCCCAGGCCGTGGCGGGAGAGAGGGGCCCGGGGACCCTGTCTCACCCCCCGTGCCGGCCGGGCATAGACCCCGCGGGGTGATCCCCCCCAACCCCGGGGGCTCCGCTCCTCCGCGGGGGAGAGACGGCGGCTCCGCCGGTACCGGAGGCTCCGCCGGTGATGCTCGACGGGGAGGCAGCGAGCACCCCTCACCCAGCCCCGGTCCTCGAAGGGACCGATAGGTGCTAGTGCCCGCGGCAGGGGGTCTCCGCGGCGG